TGTGTGTGTGTGTGTGTGTGTGTGTGTGTGTGTGTGGCAGGTTAATGTGTGTGTTTTCTGCATTTATCTAGCTGGAGGCTGCAGCAGCGGCAGGGCGGGGGAAGCTGCGCAGGAGGAAGGGAAGTCCTCTCTCACGCTCCAGAGTTTAGTCTGCTCCGACTGCCGACACACACACACACAAACACACACTCAGTGTCAGTGTCAGACAGGACGGGAGAGGACAGGAGAGGAGAGGAAAATGCTGCTGAACCCCTTGATATCACGACTCCACACACTCAGAGTTTGGATGATCAGACCCGATGACTTTATTTATTGAACTTTCTGGATTTCCTCTGGAGCCTGAATGTTGCCTCTGGGCAAAATGCACTCCAGAGCCAAGTCCCGCAGCTGTGAGAACTACCTGAGCATCAAGGTACGAGCTTCAGATCTGCTCTTTATCCTGACTTTAATAGACGATGATGTATTTCTTGTCTTGCATCGGGTCCCGCCTATCTCTGCTGGTGTTTAACAGCTCCAGGTTGTTGTACTCGTTCCACAGATGGACGTTTTCCACGGAGCAGCTGATGTTTTGACTGCTTGCTCTACAGCCAAAACAGAGCAGTGAGCTTTTCACACACGAGGTGTGTGAGAGGGAGGAAAGAGCAACAGTGTACCTGATGTCTTCTCCTCTGTATTTTGGCTGTTGTGGTGAATCAATAACAGGTTTCTCTGAGATGTCCTGTTCTTACCCTCTGATTGTTTTTTGAATCTCTTTTCTATTTTTAACCTTCGGAGACATTTTGACTGATTGGCTAAAGGGATTTCCATTCACTTCTGTTTTGTTGTCTTTTTTTTTTCCTTTATGTCCAGGGTGTACTTGCTCATGTAAGTGTGTGTTTTATACATTTATAGTGTCTGTCTGTGGGGTCTGTGAGACAACATCCTGTCTCTGCTGGTCACTTCCTGTAGGATAAAGTCATTATTCCCCGCTGACGACAGTATACTGTGGGAATCTGTAAAAGAAAAAAGTACCTTCCTATGGTTGTTTATACATAATTACGTCAATCTGAAATATATTTWAAAAAATTATGAATTTAAAAGTGAGTTAAAGGAAAATCTACTTCTTTTAATTAGTAAACCAGTTTGAGTCATTGATACGCCCAGAAAATATCTTTGATGGTACCTGTGTTCACCTGTTCCAGGCCGACTTTTATCTGACGTTGTTGTTGTTTATTTATTTAGGAAGGGACAATGCATATTACAGAAAATGTCAGAAATAGCCATGGAGGCTAGTTTTCCTCTGTAGTCCCTTTGGTCATAAAGATATAAATACAATACATACAAATCAACAAGTTACTTTCATTTAAAAAATACTAAAAATATAACAAGAAGCATGATTAAAAATAATAAAAAGCCATTTAGCACAACAATAACAATTCAAGGCAACACATTAAAAATTCAAAATATTCTGTGTCTATAGTTTATTATCCAGGAGCCAAAATTTTAAGGCATTTAAGAATAATTTGAAGGATCCACTGCTTCTTATGCTTTCTGGTATTTTATTCCAGTCAAGTGAAGCTTTTACTGAAAAGTAATTCTGACCAAATTTACTTTGTCTAAGAGGTGCAGCAAGATCTCCTCTTACGTTGTATTTTTCTTTGCACAAAAGCTGATTTTTGATGAAAGCGGATCATTTGAATTGACTCAGACACATGCAAACATTTTTATGAACTTTTTGTTTGTTTTTATACCCACAACAGAAATCAATTTGTATACAAATATGTGATAAATACAACTAATAATAAAAGTAAAACATGTTAGCCTGTTGTTTACTTAAATAATCCAACTTCTTTCTCTCAAATCCATCAGAATTACCTTTAAAAAATTTGAAGACTACATAATAATAAGAATTAGAAAAAAATATGCCTGATCAGTCCAGCTGTACTAGTTTTTATGAAATTCGGTATAAACTATATACTGTATTTGTCTTGTTTTTATGAATATGGTCTTTTCGTTTGTCCTGATGTGTAAAAATAATAATAAATAATAAAATTCAGAATATATGTTTTAGTTTTATAATGCCACCTCCACTTTTATAATG